GGGGGGGTGTGACCACGCGTGACCTGGTGTAACCTGGCGTGATCACGCGTGACCTGGCGTGACCACGTGTGACCCCGTCCTCCCTCCCCCCCCCGCAGTGTTCCCGCCGTCCGGGTACGTCCCCGACGAGTGGGCGCTGCCGGGTGGGAGCTGGTGTGTAAACGAGCGTGATCACGCGTGATCCGGGTGGGAGCTGGTGTGTGAACGAGGGTGATCACGCGTGATCCGGGTGGGAGCCGGTGTGTGAATGAGCGTGACCACGCGCGAGCTGGTGTGTAAACGAGCGTGATCACGCGTGAATACGCCTGATCACGCGTGTCCCCGCGAGCTGGTGTGTGAACGAGCGTGAACAATCGTGACCACGCGCGAGCTGGTGTGTAAACGAGCGTGATCACGCGTGAACATGCCTGATCACGCGTGTCCCCGCGAGCTGGTGTGTGAACGAGCGTGATCTCGCGTGATCCGGGTGTGAGCTGGTGTGTGAACGAGCGTGACCACGTGTGAGCTGGTGTGTAAACGAGCGTGATCCGGGTGGGAGCCGGTGTGTGAATGAGCGTGACCACGCGCGAGCTGGTGTGTAAACGAGCGTGATCTCGCGTGAACACGCCTGGTCACGCGTGTCCCCGCGAGTTGGTGTGTGAACGAGCGTGAACAATCGTGACCACGCGCGAGCTGGTGTGTGAACGAGCGTGATCACGCGTGTGCTGGTGTGTAAAGGAGCGTGATCACGCGTGATCCGGGTGTGACCTGGTGTGTAAACGAGCGTGATCACGGGCGAGCTGGTGTGTAAACGAGCGTGATCTCGCGTGATCACGCGCGAGCTGGTGTGTAAACGAGCGTGACACGCGTGAACACGCCTGATCACGCGTGTCCCCCCTCCCCCCCCCCGCAGTCTTCCCGGCCGCCGTGTACATGTGAGTCTTCCCGGGTGTGAGCTGGTGTGTAAACACGCGTGTCCCCCGTGATCCGGGCGCGAGCTGGTGTGTAAACGAGTGTGATCTTGCGTGATCCGGGCGCGAGCTGGTGGGTAAACGAGCGTGATCACGCGTGAACATGCCTGGTCACGCGTGTCCCCGCGAGCTGGTGTGTAAACACGCGTGTTCCCGGCCGCCGTGTACATCCCCGATGAGTGGGAGCCTCCCGGTGTGAGCTGGTGTGTGAATGAGCGTGACCACGCGTGATCAGGCGTGTGAATGGGCGTGATCACGCGTGATCCGGGTGTGAGCTCGTGTGTGAACGAGCGTGATCACGCGTGATCCGGGCGTGAGCCGGTGTGTGAACGAGTGTAATCACGCGCAAGCTGGTGTGTAAACGAGCGTGAACACGCCTGATCACGCGTGTCCGGGCGAGCTGGTGTGTGAACGAGCGTGACCACGAATGAGCTGGTGTGTGAACGGGCGTGATCATGCGTGATCCGGGTGTGAGCTCGTGTGTGAACGAGCGTGATCACGCGTGATCCGGGCGTGAGCTGGTGTGTAAGCGAGCGTGATCACGCGTGATCCGGGCGTGAGCTGGTGTGTAAGCGAGCGTGATCACGCG